GCCGCTGAGTAGCATCTGTTCACAGCCTTCTCGTGCGCATGTAAACTACTTACCAAAATGGGTCGTGTCCTGGGCTGTGAGCCAATTATTTTAAAAAGTGCTGCATTATGCAAACTGCATTCCTCAACTATTACGGGGTTAACTGAAAAACCCAACTAAACAAAAATAGAAGGAACTGCCATATGTTCACAATGAGCTAACTTCCAGAAAGAAAAACAGAAGAGAAACCTGGAAGTATTGTAAAATGGATGAAAAAGGCCCATAAAACAAGTCAAAAGTCACGGCATGATATGTAAAGACCTATAGATTTTGTTTTTGTTTTTTTGTTTTTCATGACAGGGTTTCTCTGTGCAACAGCCCTGGCTGTCCTGGAACTTTCTCTGTAGACCAGACTGGCCTCCAACTCACAGAGATCTGCCTGCCTCTGCCTCCCGAGAGCTGGGAAAACCTAAGGATTAAAAAAACAAAAACAAAACCTCTGAGTGGGTAACATGGCTCACAGCTATAATTTCCAGCACCAAAAAGGCTGAGATTGCCACGGATTCAAGGCCAGCCTGGGCTACCCAGTGAGCACCCGGTCTACAAAGCAAGACCCTGTTTCAAAAATAACAAATTGTTCGTCTATTTATCTGTTAGTACAAAACTTATTTGCCCTCCACAGTTAACTGTAGAGTGTAATGTGTCTCAAAGCTGAGTGTCAAAATCATCCTAAGGGCTGGGGCTACTTGTCTGTTTTTACATTTCTTTACAACAAGCTCCTCCTCACACCATAAACGAGACAGGGTCTCACTGCATAGCCGGGGCTAGCCTGCAACGCTCCCAGGTGAGCAAAGCTCTCGCCATCAGGGCCTCCTTGAGATGGGAAGGGAACCCAGAACGTTGTGTGAGCGAGACAAGAGTTCTACAATGAACTAGACCCTGAGGCGGGTCCAGACGTGTTGACTGGGTAGCTCTTGAGAGCACAGACTCAGGGATATCCGGCATCACCCTCCTAAGTGCGGAAACAGTGGACAAGCATCTCTGTGCCTAGCCCCGGGACTTGCTCAGATACCCACCCTTGGACTCCTCTCCCTGAGTTGGTGACACAAGGACCTGCGGTCAGTTCCGGTGATGCCCAGCGGCCTGCCGCTCTGAGGACCACACCTGGGAATCACGGCCTCACACACACTTCCAGATCTGGCGTTCGCCGCCGTGTTTGGAGCTATCCAAGTGCAAACGCGTTCAGAACTCAAGCGAGAGTGCAGCGTGTGATAACCAGCTACCCACCCGCCAACAACTTCTAACTTTTCATTCCACAGCCTTTTCTCTCATCAGACACGCCCACCGAGTTTTAAATCCCTCTCATCGGGGGAGGAGCATCCATGCTGGACGGTCTGCACAAAACTGGCATGCAACCCAGGACTGTGATTCGCACCTGGCTCAATTCACTTGACCCTCCTTTCCATCTAGACGAGCACGCAGACTCGCAGACTTACAAAAGTCACCTGTTTAATTTTCATTACCTTTGAGAAAGTCAAAGGTGTCATCTGCACAGCATGGCTATTTTTTATTTAATGTGCTGGGAAGGCTCAGCATGAGGCGGCTCTGCCGTCTTAGAAAATATTGAAGTATGCAATGTTGGCTCGCAGAGGGTCACACCGCCGGGACCCGCCCTGGCACTCTGGGACCACCTGCTGGTGTGAACAGTGCCAGGCGCTGCGGTGCTAGACAAAGATACGCTCCTCCCTTGTGGCTTACCAAATGTCCCGGGTGTCCTTAGCCTTGCGGTACTTTTTAATCTGTAACACCTGGCGTGTTCTCCACGGGGCCCCATCTTGCCCCAGATCCAGCCCCCAGGGAAGAAGCAAGGTGAGGGACTGTGACTAGTCATGAATAAAGGACATCCAGCCAGGGACACCTATGTCATGCCACATGACAGCAGTTTCCCGACATAAAAAACCATCAAAAGCTCACTTGCCACAGGCAACACTTTTCTCCCCAGGGACAAGAAAACGAATGGCAGATGTCAGGCTTTTCCCCCGTGAGTACCCATACCAACGTAAAAGAAATCAGATCGGTTCATCAGGCCAGAACTACGTCACTAAAGACTGGTGGGCTAGCCTTAGGGACTTCGGAGTTATAATCCAAGGACAGAATCCAAGGGAGAGCCGGTGTCTACTATGTGGCAGGTTGGGCTGATTCCCACTGCCAGAGGAATAAATGTGACCCACCAGCCAGCCACCTGGGTTGGATGGAGTGGCTCCTTGACATAATAAGGAGGTCTGGGGACAGGCAGCAAAGGCAGCACTGGACACTGTGCTTGGGCTCAGCAGGCCTGAGGGGGTCGGCCATCAGCGTCACCGTGAAGGGCTGGGGCAGAACGTCTCTGAACTTGCCTGCTGTGGTTCATGGATGGGAGAACACCCCCACCTAGGAGGAATGAACCAAGGAGAGACGGGTAATGGGTGTACCTGGGTCAGATCTGGACCATGGCTGTGGTTGCAGAGCAAATGGGCTAATCTGTGTGTGTGTGTGTGTGTGTGTGTGTGTGTGTGTGTGTGCGTGTGCGAGCACGCAGGTATATTTCTCCCTAAGTGTGTGTGTGCAGGTGGGTTTCCCCGTGTGTGTGTCTGTGTGTGCACGCACCCCCACAGGTGGGCTCCCCTCCATGTATGCATGTGACCATCAGCCGTCAGGGGAACACCTCAGGTATCATTCCTCAGGGCCACAGTCTGCCTTACTTTTGACACCGAGTCTCTCTCTGGCCTGGACCAGGCAAGGCTGGCCAGCGAGCTCTTGGGATCTGCCCATCTTGCCTCTGCAAGTGATGGCCAATGGGAACACGGCACACCCTTTGGTTCCCAGTGGCTGTTTCTGAGCAGCCACGACAGAGGTGGGGACAGCAAGGCCTCCCTCCTCCATCGGACCAGTCAGGTTCTGCTGAGCCCTCCTGGCCCCCATGTCAGGCTCCTGTGTCCACTGTTATCAAAAGTTACCTTTGATCAGCCTCAGACCCATGTTCCAATCAGCCAGCACAGAAGCACACGGTCTTGATACTACTAAGATCAATATCATTCCAGGCAAAGACCCACACTTTTTTTTTTAAAGCTGATAAAAGGACTTCTCTGCTTTACAGAGCAATCCTTCGGGGGACAGAAACCGCCTGGACCAGAGGGCAACAGGAGGCACACTCACCATGGGCATAGCGATCACCTCAGCTACCTGAGAAGGTACAGGACAAGCCTAAGTAAGAGAAGAGCCCAGCTGACTATTTAATAATTTCTACTTGCTTGTTTACAACCCCGAGAAACACATCTTAGACTGCAGAGAGCCTTCGTTTTCCTTTCTAAGAAAAACAACTGGAGGTCTAGTTCTGTGATAGTGTGTCTACCTAGCACGTGCTTGGCCCTGGGTTTGATATGACGTGAGGGGGGGAGACAGTGGGAGGCGTGAGCATTTAAAACAATGAGAATAGAGGCAAAAGGCCAAGCAGGAATTCAAGTAGCCTGAATCTGACACCTTCTCACCCAAGGTCAAAAGCCAGGCAGGTACTCTAGGGGAACAACTGACCGTTCCTCATGTGTCCTACACAGAAAACTAAGCATAGTAAGGTAACCCCAGGATTGGGCAGACGTGAGCGGCTTTCCAAAGGGAGCCTGGCCAAGGTAACATCACAGCTGGGTATCATAGTGATGGCCAAGCCTGTGCTCGTCGCAGTACCACACAGAGCAGCCCAGAGGAAGAAGAAACCCACACATACATCAATGAGGGCACAAGATACAGTGTACATAGTACAGGGACGACACCCAGCATGGAAAAAGGGGACAAAAACTGCTGTATGGATGACCCCGGGAGTGAAATAAGCCCAGCTACAGACAGGTAAAGAAACAGCGCAAGACGTCAGACACAGGCATCTAGAGCAGCTGGTTCTTACAAACAGGAAGCTGAAAGGTAAGTGCCAGAGGTGGGGAGCAGTGGCATGATGAGTTGTGCAATTGATTTAGAGAGGCTGGGTGCAAAATGGCTCTTCTGCAAACACACTGAATAGCCACGCGCAAAGTCAGGACTGTGAGTCACGGTTAAAAATGGCTAGGACTATAGATCTCAAGTTATGCATTTGGGACACACACAAAAATGATGATGGAAGCTGGGCATTGGTGGCGCATACCTTCAATCCCAGCACTTGCGAGGCAGAGGCAGGTGGATCTCTGTGAGTTCGAGACCAGCCTGGTCTACAACAAGTGAGTTCCAGGACAGCCTCCAAAACAATACAGAGAAACCCTGCCTTGAAAAACCAAAAACCAAAGACAAAAAAAAAAAAAAAAAAAAAAAAAAAGACGATAGATTAGACTTTTCTGTAACCCATGCTTCCAGAACAGTTCCCTGGGGCCTGTGTTTTATGTGGACAGCCACGAGAACACCTGATATAAGCAAAAATAAAATACACCTTATAGTGAACTCCCCCCAGTTTATTTACTATGATCTCCTCTGTAAACCGCAGAACAGCTGGAGTAATGAATGTGGGAACAGCTGGCTCGAGCTGAAGAGCACTGGCCGGCCTCCCAGAGGATCTGCGTTTGGTTCTCAGTGTCCACGCAGCTGCTCTTAATTGTCCGTCAATCAAGTACCAGGGGGATCCAACGCCCTCTTCTGGCCTCTACAAGCATTGCATCTGCATTGTACACATATGCATGCAGGCAAAAAAAAAATGCCTACACACCAGTGGTTCTTAACCTGTGGGTCGTGACGCCTTTGGCAGCAGAAGGCAGGGGGGGGGGGAGGCTGTTTCCAGCCTTAGGCGCTGCTGGAAGATGCTCAAATCATCTTAACGCGCATTTTGAACATTTCAATCAAGCATGTATTTGAAATACAAACGAGGGCTTTCTGGGAGTTTTCCTTCTATATTTGCTTCTGCACAGCCATTGGGGTAGTGATTCCCCCCACCCCTGAGATGAACAGTGCGGACGGTGGGGACACTAAGCCGGCGTCTTCCCCCAGCCCCCACCCCCCACGTCTCCTACCATGATCTTCTTGTGGTCGGGGAACTCCAGGCCGAAGTAGTCGCCCTCCACGAGATTGAGGTGGTTGCACACGGCGTCGAGCAGCACCTTCCCTGGAGCTCGTTGCTGTGGGCAGAAAGAACTGGGGTTACAAGAGTCCTTCGCTGTGTGCGGCCAGGCCACACAGACCACACTGCTCCCGGCTCCCCAGTCAGCGGGGCTCACAAGGGTCACGCAGGACTGGCCGCTACCCACCCTGTGACATCCTGGATGCCAACTTCAGCGTCTGTGCGCTTGCGGACTCTGGACGGAGACACGAGGCTTCTCCCTAGCCCCAGCAGCTTCCCATTTCTAGTAACAAACTGCTTCTGTTTTTTATTTTCTTTTTCTTTTTGGCTTTGAGAAGAAGTGCTACCTGGTGGCCCAGTCTGGTCTTGAACACACGACCCTCCTGAGAGCTGGGACGGCAGGCACGTACGAGCATGCCCGGCATCTGTTTTTTCAGAGAGTGGTGCTGGGTTTGCCACACGCAGGGCAGGGCACGGCACTGGGTTTCTCTACCTGCCAAAAGTGACCATTAAGCCAGGGCGGGTGAAATGGCTCAGCGGGTAAAAAGGACTTGCCACCAAGCCCAACAACCAACCCGGGTTTAGTTCTCAGGCCCACATGATGGAGAAGGGAGTGACCCAACTTAGAACCGTGCCTCGGTTTCTCTCTATGACTCCGTGGATTCCTGAGACCTCTCTGGTGAGATGGTTCAAGCTCTACCACACACACCAAACCTCAGGAGGCAAATGTTGCAAACTCACTGGTTTTATATTTTTCCTCTTCCCCTTCCAGTGCACATACAACAAATCTAGGAGACAACTAACTCAAGACACTGAATGACAGGGCAGGCTGAGAGCTGCGGACAGGTACAGTGTCGGGGTGCCCATTAGCCTGCCCTCACATGGCCACGGGGGCCGATGAGGACGGTTCGATGTGGGGCGCCGAACACTTCCGATTCCCTAACAGATGCCGCTTAGTGGCCCCACAAGTCGCTTTCACAGCAGTCTGGAAGATACCCACGGCTACCCGCAGGTGTACCACACCCGTGCGGGCAAGGTCAGCTCAGTGGTCGTGGTTGAGCCATTTCACACGCGCGGCTGGCGGGAAAAAGATGTGGTCATCAGAGACGTCGCCCTTCCCTATCAGATGCACTCCCAAGCCCTCACGCTTTTACGCAAAGGAAGAGACGTAGGAGAGGATGGTGGAACTACGGCTCGGCAAGCCTGCTTCCCGTCACCCCGGCACTGTCACCTGCTGTTTCTGATATGCCGCGTGCACACAGCGCCGATTCCCAGCTAGGCTGGCAGATGGGGCGGTGACCTGCTGATACTACCCTTGGTTCTAGGGTCACCTTCTCACATCAGCACGCAAGAGGCAACAAGGTCAGTTTATGGACAGCCACCTTTTCTAGAACTTTTCTCCTCCTATACTGTACAGTGTCCAGTTTCATGGTCTCCAACACTGTTTGTTGAAAAAAGAAAAGAAAGGAGAAGAAAAGAGAGGATTTGCCAACTATCTTCCCAGCTGGCAGGCACTCAAATTTCCCAAAGAATTCCTGGAACTAAGGGAATCTGATAACTTCAACTAGGTTTACAGAACCTGAACAACAACACTTCACAGCTCAACACTAGAAATTTAAACAAACAGAGAGGTCAGTGTACAATGGGTGTCTTTATGGACATGGGTGTCAGATGAAACACATCACAGGGGGTGGGGGCAGATTCCATCGAAACCGAGTCCCTCACTGACTCAGTGAGGCGTCCACATGCACTGCTGACGTCCTGGTCAACCCCAGGCTGTGCTGGTCCTGCAGCCTCACCCCAACCTTGCAGATGCCACCTAACATCCTGTCACGGAGCAGCAGCGGAGGTAACTGTCCCTCTGCCGGACGGGTTGTAAATAAATGACCAGAATCGGGTTAACGGTACCGGATTGGATCCGATTTCACCTTTTTGTGCCCGTTTTTGTACATGTCCCTTCTGGGGTACTGAGCTGCTATTTGACGCGGAGCCGTCAACTCAGAGTCTGAGTGATGGTTTTCCACTCCCATCCGTCTATGGGAGGATGGCCAGAAAGCCTCGGAGTCCCCTGTGAGCTCTGGCCGCAGTCACGGCATGACACCGGAACACCTCTAAAGGCTTCGAGACTCATGACACACGACAGTTTTACAAGGAAATGACACTGGTGTCACCATCAACATTCCAGCGGGTTATCAGGCCACTATTACAGATTAAAATATCTCCAGGTAGCAAACCGTAACACATCTCGAAGAGTCTTTTATTGGAAGGAAGGGCCCGAGTTGAAGCCCCAGAACCTACCACAGCAGTTGGCTATGATGACCATGTCTGTACCCTAGTGCTGTGCTGCTGGGGGGAACGGACGGGGGAATCTTCTGAGCTCACTGGCCACATATTCTAACCAATAGTGAGCTCCAGGTTCCGTGAGAGACTGTTTCAGAAAGCAAGAGTATTAGCAAGAAGCCTTCAATATAAGCCCCAGTTTGTATAAGACAGGTGTAAGCCTGAGATCCCAGAACTTGGGAGGTAGAGGCAAAAAAATCCTAAGATCAAGGTCACCTTCAACTACTCGAGGAGCGGGAGGTCAGCCTGGACTACATGAGACTCTGTCTCTAAATGAACAGACTAGGTGCGTGTGTGCTGTGGAGTGACAACAGCATCATTTAAGGGGGCATAACACAAAGACCGTGAGGAAATATCTAGAAAAGCATTTTCTAAGAGTGGTCTTGTCAGGTCAAAGTCCATGTATGATAATAGTGATTTAATAAGACAGTGGCCAGCTATGGAGATTTTATCTATCATCTCTCTCTCTCTCTCTCTTTCTCTCTCTTCTATCTACATCTATCTATCTATCTATCTATCTATCTATCTATCTATCTATCTATCTATCTATCTATCTATCTGTTTTTCGAGACAGGGTTTCTCTGTGTAGTCTCTGGCTGTCCTGGAACTTGCTCTGTAGGCCAGGCTGACCTCAGACTCACAGGGATCCACCTGCCTCTGCCACCCGAGTGCCGAGATTAAAGGAGCACACTGCCACCACCCGGGAACATCTTTTTTTATTTTATTTTTATGTTTGTATATGAGTGCTTCTCTTGCATGCATGCCTGTGCATATGTGGCCGCCTAGTGATCATGGAAGCCAGGAGAGGGTACCCAATTGACTGTTACAGACGGTTGCAGGCCACCATGTGGGTGTTGGGAACTGAACCCAGGTCCTCTCTGAGAGCAGCCAGGACTCTTAGCCATGGAGCCATACAGCTGTACGTTGGCAGATCATGAAGGTTCTTATGGCCTATATAAATCTGAAGCCAGCCAACACCATATTTCAGTATTCCTGACAAAATACTCTAGAAGCATTTCCCTTAGGAGAGGTCAAAGCAGAGCTATGTTTCGCTCTGCAGAACAAATTGGCAATAAATGAAACCACATAATCAAATCTCTCTTATTTTTTTCTTATTGGCTACTCTTAATTAAGCTCCAAGAGCATATGAATTTTAATGGACTGCACAAACAAGTTGGCGGACTCCACGCTGCATGTCCCTGTTGCCTTCGCCACTTCAAATCGGCCTTTTCATTGGGCCCCATGAAATCACATTAGCGGGAGTTCCCATGCTTGGGAAGCAATCCCTGAATCCTAATGGCGTGCACAGTCACGAAGACGGCCTGGCCTAGCAAACAGAAGCAACGGGCTCGAGTGCGTTAGCTCACACAGTATCTTTAAACCGTTCCTGTGTTTCCAGGCTATCCACCAACTGTGATGCAAGGACACTTCTTCTGTCTTCCAAAAGACTAAAGCTACAGTGCTGTACACGAGGGACACAGCCTCTCCTCCTTTCCTCCCCTCTCCTATTTGAGAAAGTTCTCGGGAATTATCTCACTGACAGAGAGCTACAAAGGTAACTGTCAGGTTCACGAAATTCCCATCTGCTCAAGTTTTGCAAAGCATTTATGGAAGCGTTCCTCACCTCCCCTCTGTTCGAGGTTTAGTGTAACCATGGCAACCAGGGCACGCATGCATGCACGCACGCACACACACACTCACCCAACAGGAAGATATGACTTTCCTCAAAAGCCTTGCCCCTCCTTCCTAGCAGCAGGGTTAGGGGTAGCAGCACCTTTCAGAATACCATCCTGAGTGCCGTGGTCCACTGTCTACCGGTCTGACCAGGGAGTGCTACAACGCCCGTGGATTTTCTTACTGCCTTGCAATCTTCTTTCTTGGACCACTTCTGTATGGGTGAACGGAGCTATTAATAAACATAATAGCCTGGGAAGGCTGACACACTTACTAAGGGAGTGAAGCCAAGGGTAGGCACTATGCTACAAACAAGGAAATGATTTCCACTAAGTCCCTGAAAGAGACACATAATTAGATAAATTAGAACAAATAAATGGCAGGCGATTCTTACTAAGTTCCCAGGTCAGTGAGAGACTGTCTCTAAAAACAGGGTAGACAGTGCCTAAGGAGGTACCTGAGGCTGTCCTTTAGCTACAAACGTACATACATGCAGTCACACACATGTGCGCGTGCATGTACACACACACACACACATACACACACAGAGTGTTAAAAAACAAAACAGCTGGCCACTCTTTCTGGTGGTAATCTGAGAATAGAATACCCAGCAAGGTTTACAAGGAGGCTAACTAAATGGGTTTTGACAGATGAGGTTGCCAGATGAACACACAGGACACACAAATGACAATGTATCAGTCAGCAAAGGGGACATAGCTGATGTCATCACAATAGAAACTTTGTATCATTTTTCCATCTCTAAAGAACACAAACTCTGCCATGTCGGTGTTGGATTCTGACGAGGGCTGCTCCTGGCTTCCAGGTGACTAGCTGCTCGCTCAGTGTTCTCACGTACTGGAGTAGTGGGGAAACGGCAGGCAGGCTATGGAGGTGAAGCTGCTCAGCCAGCCAAGTGCCTACCAGCCAGGGAGGGGGCCTGCATCCCAATCCCCCGTGCTACCAGCCAGGGAGGGGGCCTGCATCCCAATCCTCCGTGCTACCAGCCAGGGAGGGGGCCTGCATCCCAATCCCCCGTGCTACCAG